AGATATATAGTTGCCTTAAGTATAATATAATAAGTATAACATATTTGTTACAAACAAAGATAATAGTTATAATAGTATGTACTAGAAATAATAAACATAGTTATTTAATTATCTATATATTATTATATTTAAGACAATGAATGACACCAACAAGTATTTTTATATCAAAAATGTACTGGCGTTTTGAAATTTATAAAGCTATTTTAAAGCAACTTTTCGGATACAGAACAAAAACTATTCAGTAGTATAAACCAAGTATGTTTGAACACATATTATACTAGCAAAAAGACCTAGAAACAACATTGACTGCTATTTCATTCTAATTGAAAATTACACGCAAACAAGGTGTTTATCGTGCTAACAAGAAAGAGTTTCAAACCTGAAAGTGAATTCAAAACTGGTCTGCAGAAATACAACTAATAAATAAGGTCATTACAATTCATTAAACATTACGCAAAAGATCAGAAACGTACAAAATGTATGCATAGAAAAATAAAGTGCGTGAGAATATAATCACCATATCACAAATTCGTAAATTATTGTATATTGGGGAAAACGCAATACATGTACATACTACAGGCATACACACACGTGTCCATTTTTCATAAGGCTCCCCAAAATGTAGTCTTTAATCGTAAAGATATCAGAAATGTTCATTTCCCTTTTTTGCGATTTCAAAAACATGTAACCGACAAGATGTTCATAAATCAATTATTTTACCAAGTATTTGCTTCTAGATATTAAACCACAGAAAATGTACGCCAGAATCGCGTTTACGAGTATCTGCACTCAATGGTTTTAGTTAAGAAACGATGTCTGGTGCTGCCGGCCACTAGTATCACTGAGCAGGGGCTCTCTCGTGTCTATACGACCGAGTGCACTCAAGACCTAAGGAACTGAACGAACTAAACGTTTGTCTCCTTATCGCAGAGCTACTCAGACTACTTTAGACGAAGATCAGGGATAAACTTAAAAAAATCATTATGTGAGCATTACAATAAAGCACATAGCAAATGGTAAAAGTCACAAGTTGATCGATCATAAATTCAAACTAGCTGTAAGTGGAATTCTGTCTTAAGGCAATTAAGGCATCGTGCCTTAAGGCAAATTGCTGGAACTTCCCGTACCAAAATTTTTTTTTTAAAAACGATTAGGATTTTTGAAAAAAATTTACTTTGAAAAAATAAGATTTTTGAGAAACTATATATTGGACAAAAAATTACTTTTTTTTGAAAAAAAAAAAAAATTTTTTATTTTTTTTTTTTTTTAAAAAAAATGTTTTATTTTATTTTGACATATTTTGGAAGATCTAAACTTTTTTTCAGAGCAATCGTACTGCTTTAACTGCATAAAGACGAAATATCAAAGCCCGTAAGCGCCGCGTCGCCGTCTAACGCGTAAACATTGGTACGGAACCCATAGAAATGTAAAAAAAATTTATACTTATTGTTAAAATCTCTATAAAATATTTGATAATTTGATGTGCATATGTCTAATGATCATTTTTGACCGCCAAATGGCATTTTTTTTTACTTTTTTCATCAGATCTCCGAAACCGTTAGACCTGCCTTCATGAAAATTTGATCAATTCTTTATCTTGTCAATACAAGTAAAATGTTTTTTGAAATATTCAAATCGGACGCTCCGTTCTCTTAAAAACTGAGTTACCGTTTTCGGCACTTTTTGCCCCGTATCTTTGGAACGGCTAGACCTGCTTTCGCCAAAAACTAATCAGCACGTCTCCTTATTAATACGAATCGAATGTTTTTTGAATTATTCAAATCGGTTGATCCGTGTTCCCGAAATCGTCGACGAAAATTTGTATCCGCACATACATACACACACGCACATACATACATACATACATACATACATACATACATACATACATACACACACACACACACACACACACACACATACATCCATTTTTTCTAAGGTATGCCAAAATGTTCAGAAACCTCTGAAACGTAAAGATATATAAACATTTTCATTTTCGATTTTTTTGCGATTACTATAACTTGCCCTACGGGAAGTTAATTACCAATATTAATTTATATTTACAATTGAAATTTTCAACGACGACATTTTTATCATATATTATTTTTAAATATTATATTATACAAACTCATTATTTTCATCGAACTAGTAAAGTTTATTATTAAAGAAAAATAGTAGACATTTGGAATGATCTACGTTCGTGCTGGTTTAAATTGTTATAAACTAGTGGGGCGCATGGCGTCGTGCCTTAAGGCAAATTGCTGGAACTTCCCGTATCAAAAATTATTATTTTTTTAAGAACAAATAACATTTTTGAAAAAAATTTACTTCGAAAAAATTAGAATTTTCAGAAACTATAAATTGGAAAAAAAAATACTTTTTTTGAATAAAATTAAAAAAAAAAATTATTTTTTTTGAAAAAAAATGTTTTCTTTATTTTGACATATTTCAGAAGATCTGAACTTTTTTTTTCAAAGCAATCGTACTGCTTTAACTGCATAGAGACGTTTTTCGTTAGATCTCTGAAACCGCTAGACCTGCCCTCATGAAAATTCGATCTATTCTTCATCTTGTTAATACAAGTAAAATATTTTTTGAATTATTAAAATCGGACGCTCCGTTCTCTTAAAAACTGAGTTATCGTTTTCGGCGCTTTTTGCCCCGTGTCTTCGGAAGGGACCTGCCTTCGCCAAAAACTAATCAGCACGTCTCCTTATCAATATGAATCGAATGTTTTTTGAATTATTCAAATCGGTTGATCTGTGTTCCCGAAATCGTCGACAAAAATTCGTATCCGAACACACACACATACACGCGCGCGCGCGCACACACACACACACACACACACACACACACACACACATACATCCATTTTTTCTAAGGTATGCCAAAATGTTCAGAAACCTTTCAAACGTAAAGATATATAAAAATTTTCATTTTCGATTTTTTTGCGATTACTATAACTTGCCCTACGGGAAGTTAATAATGACGCTATTCCAAATTACAAGAAAATTGACAATTCATTGTGTTTAGAATTGTTAATGAACAAATAATAGTAAAGCGTTAATAAGCTTGCAATTCACTTCTAAAATTAAACTTTTTATGATATGCATCAAAATAATACAAAACAATTTTCATTTTTTTTAGTTCTACTTTCCTATGTTATGTACATGTTATGTATTCCTAATATTAGCTGAAATTTGTGAAATAAATAACTAAAAAAACACTAACGATATATGTTATGATCACAACGCTTTTAGAATATGTAAAAAACTTAAATACTTTTAAATTAAAAAAAACCTATAATAAAACAGATATACCTATCCCCCGTTTTACACGGTACTTGTGAAAATATTTTTTTAACGTAATTTATCAATTTTAACGAAATTTTCATTCACAGGAATTTATAATTTGCTTATATCTACATTACATTTTCATTGTTTTACTGTCAAAATAGAACACTACATAATGTATGTTACAGTTACAGAATTCTTAGTAGTCCATGATCATGATGGAAATATGCAGATACGATGGTTTTTTATTTTATCATCAAATCTAAATTTTATGTGTGTATAAGCTAGTTTGTTTGAAAAATCAAAACGAAAAGAAAATGTTTGCAATAATGAATTTCTAATTTTTATTTTTATTTAGGATTTGTTATATATGTTTTATTATTCAAATAAATTAAATAAATGTTTTTGATACTAGATATATTAATATTTATTTTTCGTTCAATTTGTTAGTTAATCATATAAAAAAACTGACACAAGAGATTTTTCATAGTGATTTTCGTTTAGCACAGTGTTTTCATATAAAAGTGAGTCTTTCGAATTACACGGTTTTTAATAAAACCTATCTTCCGTGAAAAGTTTTATAGAACCTATACAACGTGTGAAAAGTTTCTTGTTTTATCTATTTATAATAATTGCATATAACATTTATAGAATTTTTATTTATATATAAATCAATAATATATTTTCAAATTTCAAATTTGTATTTGTATACACGATGTGACTCTTATGTCGCCGAGAAAATAACGAAGCTAAATTCAAGTTTTAATCTAGTTCATTGTTTGAAAAACAGAGTCATTTTTACCTTTTCAACAAAATGCTTATTTTCCGCGTATATAATGCGTATCTATAAACAATTATAAAAGTAGAAGCGAACGATTAAGTTCGAAATTTGTCATTTGATAAGGGCATTATCTCGGCCGAATGCTCGACAACAGTGCTCGAGACCTATGTGTGCTCCGCAAGCGTGTAGTCCGATAATGGCGCATTATCAGCTAAAGTAATGACTGCCCTGCGCAGTCACTGTAAAAACTATATATTTCTGGCGTCTGTATCGAAAACCTACATCGTTTCTGGTTTATCTATAACAAAAATATACTACATACACAGACACTTGCTCAAGGCAATATTCCTTAAATAGAAACAAAATTTATCACTTTTCGAAGCACTCTCGTTTCTGAAAGAGATAATAAAAATAGACGATACGTCAACTATGTTTAATATATTATAAGAATACAATTTACATTTAACTTTATACAGACTATAATTAAGATATAAATGCAATTACGCAGTAAGAAAATATTCATTATTATACGAGTCGTTAATTTGTACAGTTGGATTATAATTGAAAAGCTTAAAATAAATCGAAAAAAAATATCCTTTGAACTAGCTCCTTTATCACAAGAACATTTTGAGACTAACAAAATTAATTACATTCTACTAAAGTGTATGTCTTCATAACTAACTAATAGAGTATTATAATAATTATAAACAAGAAAATTCATTCAATAGTGATATGCCTTTCAAGTTTACCTAGTTGTGTAATGATTCTAAATTCATGAAATCAGCAAATAAATAATTGAATTTTGTTGCTTCTTTAAAATTAACTTATACTAGCAAACTTAAGACGTCTAAATCACAAATGATACTTTTGTTAAAGTAATTAACTAATTAATAGTAACAACAAACAAAGGTGCCAAAATTTCGGTTCTTCGAATTGTGAAAAATGGATTGTCAAATATATTTTATTAATAATAATTAAAATTAATTAAAAAAATTCATAGTTATATTGAACAAAGCAAGACTTATACTTCTAAACCGTTCAATAATCAGATTCGTAAGCATAATCGTCATCACCGTCGTTTCTATATAACATAGATGCTAAGCTGCTATGTTCCTCTGGTTTTGCAGGTTCTGGATCTGGTTCATAATAATCTTCCTCTAATTCTTCTTCAACCACTGGCGGCTGAGGAGGCTCTGGTTCTTCAGCAGGTTCTTGAGTTGCTACAGGAAGTTGACTGGTAGCAGTCTTCCTTTCTACAATATTCGGTAACTTAGTACTCTTCCTCGGTGCTTTCGATTTTGGCGTGATATCAGACGTCGTTGAAGATGATGCATACGATTTTATTACGGGAGTAAACGTTTCCATTGAAACGGATTCGTTCGCTTGTTTATTTGCATCCTCAGCCAGAGTAGACTGCGTTAAACTCTTCAAAATATCATAGTTTATTTTGTTCGAAATTTTCTTTTCCTGCAGCATTTTCTCGATAGCCTCAGCTGCTGTAGCCGAAGGTCCTACGGCTTTTTTCTTTGTTGATCTCCGCTTCTTCTTCTCTGGCTTACCTTGTTCTTTCTCTTTTTCCGCTCTTTCTCGCTTCGCTTCCTGTTCAACCAAAAAGTCCTTATTGATCCTATTCCATACTTCTTCTTTATTTTTAGATTCAACAGGCGTTAAAAGGTATCGATCTATTTCATCGTCATCAATCAATTCTAAATCGGATTGGCTATTGGCAATTTCTTCCTCTTCTCTTTTCTTCTGACTCTCAAGTATTTGAGAAGGGGTCATAATCATATCTGCTATATTTGGCGCTAATCCCGATTTTGGTGTCGGTAGAGGTGCGTCCGGTTCTTTGTCGGTATTAATAATTTCTTCGATAACGTTTATAGTAGACTGGCTGATAAAAGTATCTGTGTCAGAACTCGGATCCGGCGAATTAGATACATCAGCAGGTCGCTTTCGTTTTTTATTCCGGAGATCATTTTCGATTTGCCTGTTGATTTCTTGCTGCAAGGCTGTAAATTCAAGGTTATCTTCCTCTTGAAGTTTTGCTAATCTTTCCTTATCCTTTTTTCTAGCGGCCTTAAAAGCCGGAGGATCTTGCTCGGCTTCTAAATCAACGGTCATAAATTCGTCTAATGTTAGAGCTGAACTCGGAGTATCACCAAATTCCATTAATCGTTTTCTTAACGTGGTTTCATGCACTTTTACAATGCGAACTACATCTGCTGGAGCTCGACTAAAATTATGCATGCGAGCTGCAATTAGCAAAGCCGCACCGCATAGACCAGATGGTCGTCTACCAGAATGTATGCAATCGCGTTTCATACGCTGCACTAATCTCAAAGCGGTCATCGACACTTCGTGTGTTTTCTCGCCAAAGTCTAAGCGATTAGCAAATCGCAAAATGTACAAACACGGGTCGATGGATGGTATTCTGATGCACAATGCCTGTGAGATCTTCAAGTAGATGCGGCCAAGTTCGTAACAGCATATCTGAAGGACATCGCTGATATCAATGAGAAGATGTGCGGTTCCTTCTGTCCGACACGTGATGTAAACGCAAGCGGCATGAACATGCGCCGATGAGCGGCCGCGCGTCAGCTGCCTCGATAATGCCATCTTGAAAAAGTTGCATGCCATATCAATGCAATGGTTATTGAGACGCAGCTGCTGGCACAGTTGCGTGATGCCTTGCCGGGCGCGTCGCAGCGTTATCTCACGTGATTCAGTGCCGATTCCAACGTTGAATGAGGCGCCATAGCCGGTCGCACCACCCTTTGATTCCGCGGAAACGAATTTACCTAGTGCGCTCGACGCTCCATGTGCATTTTCCTCGAATTGAACTTCGGCTACGATTATATTATCTTCAAGTACGGAACCGCAATTTGTACATACTGCATCACCTCGCGCAGTATCCACCTCGATATCGGTGGACCCACAATTTCGGCATTTCTTACCAGACATCTGGAATTTAATTCAACAAGTGCAATTTAGTATAAATGAGTATGATATTTTTTAAATACAATATAAAATGATCATAAACATAATTAAATATGAGTAAAATGAACATAAGAAGCTAAAGTAAACATGCGTGTGAGTAAATTATTACATGCAAAATAATAAACTGTAACTTTACAAGAGACGATTTCTTACGTTAGTATCTAAAAGAAAAAGCATTGAACAAGAAAGATGAAATGAGTTTTAGTGATACACAATATTATCGAATTTACGAAGACATAGTTTATTAACGATTGCATATGTAAAACCCGACGCTGCATACTTGTGCTTTGCATTATTTCAAAGAAAACGAAAATTCCTTAAAGTTTCAACATAACTTTATTTAATAGTCGCTACCTTGAGATCTCACATTTATCTACAGATTTAATAATATAGTTTACATCTCGCTAAAATATATACTAGAGAATGATCAGATGCCTACACTATACTTACTAGATATTACAAAACGAACATGTGTGTTTATTCATAATTAATTACAAATGGATGCATATAAAAACTGCATGATTGGTATAATATTTCACATGTTTTATATTTACAATGCAATGCAATCGTTTGTGGTATAAATTAATCGCGAATGCAGCTCAACTATTCCGAATACATGTCATTGATAGATAAGCCGATCACATAAACGTAATCCCGGCGGCTAATCGGACATTTTACATGTGGAATGGTCACAAATATTGTACATTGGAGCGGTTTCCAAACTGCGATGTTCGACCGTACCCTTGTAAAGTGTATTAAGAAGATAATATATCAATAAAACAATATTTTCATATCGTATCAAATGATTGATCTTTTTTTTCGTTCCGTCTTAAAAACTTGGATAGTAATTTTAAAATAGTTTGCATTCTATTTTATATTTTTAATAATTTTTTTCTAATTATACTTACATTTTGAACAATTTTCAATTATTACTGTTAGTAAAGTATTAAATTTATTCATTGCCTTGAACGCAATATTTCCAATACATAAAAGTATAATGACAATTTATGAAATGAAAAATTACTAACAATAAATTTTTTAACAAAAAAGTGAAAAACCATTCAAATAAACAGAATATAAACCAAAAAAATGTATAAATCGCTAAACTTTTCAAAAAATAACATGAAAAATAAAATAGTTAAATAAAATATGATTTTAGCCGTCATTACTATTCCCGCATTGGAAGTTATGAAATATAAACCCCAATCCCTTGTATTCGAGATTTATTTATTCATGTATTCGAGCGCTATTTTGGGTTAGGAACCTCTGCCTGAAATATCAGTACAGTACTCTCGGCTTCAATTCAAACAAAAAACCATTGCAGAATTTTTATGCATAATTCATGCACAACGATATGTGATATATGACGCGGCGGTAGAAAAGCGACGATAATTTTACACGTGTATAAATACTGATTGTGCGAATTCAAATTATGACATCAATGAATTTATAATAATAAATATGCGTATGCGCGATATGTATATCAATATAAACAAGTTCCTAAGTGAATCATTAATTATTTAAAACGTTAAATGCATTTTCATTATTGCATATGTCAAAATTTATGAATCAAATATTTAAATGACAATTTGACTACCTATTAACTGTCAAAATAATAGAATACATAAAATATTAATATTCAGCATTGCCGACACTTTGAAATTAACTTGTGGTGCTTGGCATCGTGCCTTAAGGCAAATTGCTGGAACTTCCCGTACCTTTTTTGAAAATTTTGAAAAAAATGGATTTTTGAGAATTTTGAAATTATTAAAAAAATGACTTTTTTGAAAGAAAAATTTTGATTTTTTTGAAAAAATTTAATTTTTTTTTAAAAGCAATCGCGCGTTATGAACGAAATATCGAAGCGCGTTACAGCCTAATGATTAAACATTGTTACGGAACCTATAAAAATGTAAACTAAATTTGTACTTACATTACAATCTCTATGAAATACGTAATATTTTGATGTGCATATGTTTAACGATCATTTATTACCGTCAAATGATTTTTTTTTTACTTTTTTTTCAAGCTAGACATGCACGTCTCCTTATCATTAGGAATCGAATGTTTTTTGAATTATTCAAATCGATTGATCCGTGTTCACGAAATAGTCGACAAAAATTTGTATCCGAATTTTTCATTCATTTCATTTCAACTGGACTCGCATTCGAACCCATCTATAGTTGAAATTACTAAACCTTATGGTACAAGGAAACGACAATGGCCTTTAGACTTAGTCTTAGATTAGGTCTAATATAATATTATTATAGTAATTGTTAAACTGAGAAGATCTCATTGGAGCTCTTCTTAGGCATCGCTCTTACATTGTCATTTTAGCTCATAGGAATCTGTATGTATTTCTGATTGCTAAATAAAACGAGTTAAAAAAAAAATTCATTTCAAAAAATTTCTTTTTCGATTTTTTGCGATTACTATAACTTACCCTACGGGAAGTTAATAAATATTCCAATAGTGTTGAAGTATCTACTTTACAGTTAAATGAAAAGTTAAGTAACAATGGCAATGCGTAACATACTGCTTAGCGCGTAACAAGAATATTATAGGGAAGGCATCACGAAAGGCCAAGAACTTAACGCCATTGAATATTTTACACGCCTATCTCGTTCAACTGATTGAGTGCGTATAGATTGAGGAGAGCGTGGCGTCGTGGGGCCGATGCAAAAATAAGTTTAGCCGATTAAGCCAGTAAAATTCTTCGCATAAGCACTGTTTTCCCTTGCAATAACGGTTGATACAGCCGTTTGTACACCCACGCGCGCGGAGAACAGATACAGAGCATGTGTTGTGCCGCGCGAGACCGCACGACGAGATAACGGGGCCGCGATAACGCGCGAAATATGACAGCAGCGACGGTCCTTATCGGCGCTATTTATATTTTTAAAGAACGCTTTTATATTCGCCACGGTCGTGTATTTTCTATAAACAAAATTTCGAAATTGCCGATGTCCCGAAAGACTACGCACGGCGCGTGTGTCAAACGGAACAATGTTGCGAAAGTGTGATACACCGCCTACTGGAAAAGCTTTTTTTCTTCTGAAAGGGCTCTTCGGAAAAGCCTTCATATGGTATAACGTGGATTTAGACTCGGATTTTGGTTTGCGTCGGCCGCCAACGCAATGACACAGACGTACGTTACAGCACTACGGTTACGGCTATCTCTCACTGCTGCTGGCTTTTAGCGAATTGTGAGGGTGTAGTGGATCACCGGCATGTAATACAACTACGAAAGAAAGCGATGCTAAAGTCTATTTTGCTTTTGTAGGAGGTAACGCAAATGCGATTTTAATGTTTTAAATGTCTTTGCGAGCTTACTGAATGCATTGATATTGTGATGAATGCTAGCGGTTAGTACATAAACGCTGAAAATATCAGTCATGATCTCGCATCTGATACATCATACCGCCATTTAGAGCATTAACGTATAAATGATTCAGTGTTTTATTCAAAACTCAACTGCACATTTAAACGCAGGATCACATTATTGAAAAGTAGTTTTTATAAAAAAACGAAATCCATAACTGTAATATAATTTCTTTTTTGTTTTACATATTTGCACCTACAGTAGAACTCCGATTATCCGAATCACTTTCAGAAAAAAAATTGTCCAAAAAAAGTCTAAGTTACAGTTAAAACAGCTTACATTGACGGAGATGTTTAAAAAACAATGATTTTTATTTCTAAACTTGTACATAAGTACATTTTATTTATATTTAAAACATGTGAAAATATCAGGTTTCTTTCATTTAATTCAATAAAAAAATAGTGCAATATCAAAACGTAACTTTATTTCTCTCCAATGGCAATTTTTTTAAAAAAAACTCCGATTATCCGAATATTTGATTATCCGAATGGGTCCCGGTCCCCATTAATTCGGATAATTGGAGTTCTACTGTATTTCATCATGAAACATCAGCAAATTGTTTGTAGTACTTAGAATGACTAAATCGGATGCCAATCTTAATTGGATGTCCAGGCATGACTCCAATAATTACAACAATATTATAATAATCATGTCTTTGCGCACAAAGAATCTGAATGGAATAAGGTAGCTTACGAGAGTGAACTATATTCTATTGAAGGTTGACATGTACACAAATACTATAAAGAATAAGAACTTTGTATCGACTATATCGAGAATGAGACTTGGGCACACGTTGTGCTATATCCACCTTTAGGAAGGATAGAGTTCTTACAAAATTATATGTGCCAAACTGAAGAAGACCAGAAACATTGGAACATATCTTGCAGGAATGCAGAAACCACGAGAGACAAAGCAAAGGAGGAGGAAAGCTGCTGGAGAAAAGTATCGGTTTTGCAGTAAATGCGCAAGTCTTCATTGATATCTACGATATTGATATGTACAAAATTATATATAATTTCTTTTATAATAATAAGATTGTTTATAAGATTAATTTATAAACACAAAAAATGTACATGCTAAAATGGTCAAAAAATTTATAGTCAAATAAAATTAAAATTAAAAAAGTTGACAAGTCGATAGTATGGCTCTGAATGTTTAATGGTGTATTTATTAGCAACATTCTACATATAACATTGTCGTACTAATTTAATTCTTTCGGCTCGGATACTGCCGATGGAATCTCGGAAATCGCGAGTAGTAAGTGTTAAAGCTCCACTAAATATAGAATTATGATACTTGCTAAAATAATAGTTTCAATAATAGTAATATAACTATATGTCGTTATTAGGAAGAAAAATAGATCAATACACACATTTACTAAAACTCCCTTCTCAATACTCGTAGTCGCAATGGTGAGTTATTCTTTCATTGTATGAAGAGAAGAATGAATCAAGAACAAACTTGAACCGATTAATAAAAAAGTAACACCACGAAGATATTAATCGAACACATATTTCTCACACGTTCAAAACCCGAGGGACATGACGACAGTACGAGAAACGCCGACTTTGGCATTTCATAC